AGGCGCCCAAGTGTCAGCTAGCACAAGCAGATGTACTCTATCTCGGGCATGTTATCGGTCGAGGGCATCGCCGTCCCTCTGAAATGAAAGGGGCAGCTATCCGAGACTTTCCCCAGCCCCGAACGAAAACCGATATTCGGGCTTTTCTTGGAATAGCTGGTTACTATCGTAAGTACATCCCTAGATATTGCCACATTGCCAGCACTCTTACTGACGCGTTGCGCTAGACCGAGCCCCAAATGGTCGACTGGGATGAGGAGAAAAAAAGGCTTTCCGCGTTTTGAAAGCGGCCTTGTCGAGCCAACCTTTGCTTAGGTCACCGGACTACTCGAGGCCTTTCATAGTCTAATGCGACGCTAGTGATAGAGGCATGGGGGCAGTTCTTAGTCAAAGGGATGAGGGGGATCAAGAGCATCCCGTCCTGTATATTAGCCGGAAACTCACCCTTCGCGAGCAGGTTTACAGCGCTAGCGAAAAGGAATGTGCGTGCTTGGTTTGGGCAGTCCAGAAACTGGCTTGTTATATTGCCGGAAGCAAGTTCATTGTGGAAGTGGACCACTGTCCTCTCACCTGGCTACAGACCATGTCCTCTAAGAACGGCCGCCTGCTGCGTTGGAGCCTCGTTTTGCAACAATATACGTTTGAAATACGCTACAAAAAGGGTGTACTCCATGGCAACGCTGATGGTTTAAGTCGATGCCCCTGACGCGAGAGGATGTCTCGAGAACTCTGGCTTTTTTTTTTCCTGACCTAGACAAGAGCTAGTGATTGCTTTTTTTTACTCTTTTAGGTGTACTTGTTTGAAAACGTTAAGACACGGCTATCCAGGGTTTCGGGTTCGGCGGGCTTCCAGTGTTGTTGTTTTGTGTCACCTTAAAGTGTGAGTAACATTTTGAATAAATTGTGTATTTCCTTTAAAATCAGTTAAAGCGAAAAATTGCCTGGTGGAGTTTGGCGGACTTGTCCGGCGCTCACCGGCTGAGTAGTTGTGTTTTCATGTGCGTATGTGATGTCTGTTGAGCCCACAATGAAGCAGGTGTTGCCCTCTACTTCATCAAAGATGGTCATCACCAAACCAACTGCCGGCGCTGATCTCTCCGGACAGTGGCTGCAAACCTCAGCCCATCGAGATCTTCACCCCCCCCACCCCGCGCGAGAGACTGTTACGACCGGCCCTAGGGAACCAAGCAAGGAGAGTTTGGGGGAGAACCGGTTCTTGACCGACGGGGTCGTCCACCCCCACCTCCCCATTCAGGCTCCTCCTCTCACCGGGAGAACTCCGGACTCTGCTGTGCGTTCGTGACCATGTTTGGTAACATTTTAGGGCGCCGTGACCATATATGGACTCCGTGTTAGGTTGTGCCACTCCATGTGTTGTGAGAGGTGTTTCCCTCTCCCTCGTGGCCGAGGTGCCGGGGACACCGTATTGGCTGACGATGCGGACAAGGCGCCCAGTGTCAACAACGTGGCGCTATAAAATGCCGAAGACATTTTGTATCACACTCACTCTTCTCTCTTTGGATCAGTTGATCACTTCTCCACATGTAAATAAATCTCTGTTGTTCGTTCGGGCGCTTCTTCTCGCTGAATTGTCGGACGATGGATCCTGCGACGGGGCCAGCTACCGAAAACGAGACCGGCAGGACCCGGAGTCCCAACACCCCTTATAGAACTGGTTGTCACCGAGGAATGATTTTTTTCCACCCTCGGCGACACCCAGCAACAGTCTCCAGCCATCTGCCGTCTTCACGTCCTTCACGCCTTTGTGCTAGCTTCTATCACCGTCGGCCGACTCGGACGCATGTTCGCAAAACGCTTCACTAAGAGTGTGTATTAACCGTGGCGCGATCTTTTTATTGACTGCAATATCACATCCTAATCTCCCACCCCCGACCCTCTAACTTTTGCCACACTGTTCCTCCTGTCTATAGACACATGAACGCCTCCGTCCAAAACTTTGTTTGAGAGCCCTCTAGGTCAGCGCAGCACGCAGTCGTGCACGATGAACTGTGCACACTCCCCCTTCGTTCATACGAAGAGAGAGAATAAACTTTCGAAAACATTGGTTCCGGAAGCCACCTGAAACAGAAAAGCTCACATAACCATGGCCACGGCGGCGCCTCCTCGCTTCCGGAAGAAACCGCATGCGCCAAACAACCAAAGTTCGCTCTGATCTAGGGGGTACTCACTCGCTTGATTTCGTGCCGACCGGCTGTGCGCCCGCTATCTCCGAAGGCAGTGCTGCTCTGGCTGACTGGCTCGCCCTACGCAATCTCCTGACGCCGACAAGAGATCTCGTTGAGTGATACCCCGTCCTCGGAGTTCTGCGACCATGTCCATCTTTCCTATCTTCTCCTTACTTTCGTATGAGGCTGTCCCTATGCCTCTCTCCTTCTGCTCCTTTCTCTATTTATATACCTTTAATTCCTATCCTTTAAATCTCTCCTTACCCCCACTCCTCGTGACTTACTGTTGAGGTGTCCTCCTCCTCAGAGTCAGTTACGGGGTTCATTTTTATCTTCTTTTCATTCCAGAATCACCTCCCCCTTGATCTAGGGGGGTAGGGGAGGGTGAACCCAGATGATGGTGCGTCGCCGCTCGTGTTGGCGGCTAGATAATCACTGCAACGTTGCACTACTTAACAGGCTCCTGCATCCAGCGGTTCACGTTTGAGAAGCTCATGTTGGTGAAGCGCAACACATAATTAGGTAGACGGCAATTGTCTTATCTCACTTTTTTTGTTTAAAGCAAGCCGGACAAACAGCCGTTCAGTCACAATTCGTGTTTTAAATGTAAACGGTGAATTGATCATTTACCTTTTAACATTTGGTTGTAAATTTTCGTTGAATGAAACCAAAATAAAGTTTTCTTAGCAGGTTGTAGTGATTATGACATTTATTGAAGCATTTAAAAATTTCGTGGACATTTAAGCACTTTATATGGCGTAGACCTAGCAACCAAAGAACTAGTGACCGATTACCAAACGTGTTCGGAAAGTCAGACATTCGAGAGATTAAGCCCATGAGATCAAACGTGTTTGAATCTCGAGCTGAGAACCGGTTATAACTAACTTCTAATGCTCCTGGGTTGGATCATTTCATTATCATTACTTTCCTCTCTTCTTTTTGATAAAGTTCACCTGGTTACTATGACTCGGCACACACTTCTGTTTGTATTTCCAAGCAAACAGTGCATTGTGGAGTATTTTTCTACCCTCTTCGTAGCTACTACTGTAATATCATGCTCGAATTCTTCATGTAGGCCTGAGTACATGCCCTATCGAAGTGGAAGGCCACAACGCTCTTTCTAGGATCACTTTTAGTTAGCCAAAGCCAAGAGTAGGCGTGATGTAAAAGTGTGAACAGTATTATAATTTGTAAAAAAATCTTCAGCATAAGTTAGCATATACAAACAAATGCATTATGCCAACAGATACTGAAGGGAGAAAGAAGTTATCCTCCCACGTTCATCTTCATTGATACCCCACCCTAAGAGGGGAGAATACTCTGTGCACAGCCTAATCTTTATCTGACAGGCAGTTTAAAATCTGACGAACATAAACAAAACTTTGCGACAAGAAAAACGTTGCATACCTGCTCAAAGGTGAACGAAAAGTTGTCCTCACCGTGCGCGCTTGACAAGCATGAACGAGCAGTGCGGCCCTGAAGGTGTTCTGTATTAGATGCAAAGCCACAAGGTGCACGAGCGGTGGTGCGCTGTTTTATTTGATTTCAGCAGACCTTGAGCGTTTTGCTACCCATTAACCGAATTTCAATTTCCTTTATATTCACGACCACTCGAGATGTGGAGCAAAACTGATTAGTCTTCTATAACACTACTTTAGTCAACTCAAAAATCTGCTATGTCATCAGTATAACATTTTCAATTAAAGCCTAAACAATTAAAATATCACCATAGTGGGCAGCGCACAAAAGGAAACACACAAGAGAAGGAATCAGATTCCTTCTCTTGTGTGTTTCCTTTTGTGCGCTGCCCACTATGGATAAGTTCCAACTCGCCCGCCTTTCGGTGCTACCATACTATTCCTTATAGCAGTCGGAGAACTGCTCGATCCTATGGGTGGTCTTTAGTAGGGTGGTTTTGCTCGAGATTTGCCATTTACCAACTAACTCTCGACCTTGGTAGCTTGTTTTACGTACTTGCAGTTTTTAATGCATCTCATGACAATATATTTAGGGTGTCAATCATTCTTAACTGAATAAAATTATCAAGATGCATTTCCTGCATTGAGGAATTGAAAGAATGAAATTAAAGGGTCTCGCTATTCCCGGAGTGGGAATGGGCCAGTGCTTTTTTTTCATTCCTATGAATCAAAATGCATGAAATTGAGGTAAATCATAACTCCCTGGAATGGAACTAGAATGGAATAGAGGCGCCCGTTCCGCAACACTGAAAGGAACCATGATGGGAGGCGAAGCAGTGGCGGTGCGCACATCGTTTTCCCAGCTGAAACGGGTATCGACGCGGGTGCTGGAAAAACGGTTTGAAGCGAAACTCGGTGTAGTCTGTCCTCACGTAAACGTGTCTTTGAAACGCTATGACATGGGAGACGGGTCGGGTTTTGTGTAAGTTTCATAGCAGATAAACGAGCCAAAAGAGTGTTTGCACTCGAACCGCGGTCGAGCATTGCGGGCTTTGGAGAGTATGAAGCGAGAGAGAAGTGTGTTGCGAGCGGAGGAGCAACGCCAGCTAGGTGTGTTGGTAGGAGCCGGCAGCTGCTGCGGGTGAGGGAGAGACTGACGTCAACGTGCAGCTGCGACTAGACCTACTTGATATCACCCAACGACTGCGGGGGGAGAAACGCGGTGTGGCGCGGGTGCACGGGGACACGCACGGAAAGCGTTACGTAGGATAATCAAAGAGCTGCTTCGCCACTAAAAATTTCAATTATGGAAGCGCGCCTAACTGAACTACTTGAGCAGGCCCTTCAAGCAGTCATGGGTGCATTCACTCATTTTATGGCAACGCTAGAGACTCACCTTTCTGTAAACGAGGCTGCAGCAAGCAATGCGAATGCGCATGCCCATTCTCTGCATGTTGAAGAAATACGGGTGATGCGTGAAGATGTGCATTCCTCCGAGGATCGACACACCTGCCGCCGACAGGTAGAACTCGGTCTTGCTGATCGATTCCGGTGCGGCAAAATAACGCACCACCCATCCCAACATCATCGGCTGCATTACATTCTTGAAGCACTCCTGGAAAAAAGGCGGCGTGAAAAGGTATCAACATCGTGGCTTTTTTTCATTGAATTGCTTTAATCCTATCGCTCAAACGTTGAAAACAAAATAGTACTTTTTTTCATGGCCTGAAGGCCTGGTCGAGACTACTTTTGATCTGCTTGAGGCAAGAAATATTTAACAGCCCTGCGTTGAGAACATTCATACGCATTCCCCTTTTATCAGCAGCGTCCAGTGCAAAATATTTTCATCACAGACTATCTTGAAGAAAGCACTTCAAATAGCAGATACCCCAGGTCATGCGCCACAATGTCGCGACGAATGTAAACTCAATGGGTGCCAAAAGTGTTCGCGAAGCAGTAACGGGCATCTTGACACTATTGTATTGTGTGCATACAATAAGAACAACCTTCGTGCAACCCTGTTCCTCCAACGCTATAGATTTGGTGAAGCTAAGGGACGTTTGCAAACGTTGTAAGGGTAACAAAAAAGAAGCGAATTCTTTTTTTCGCAACAGTCTTTATTAAATTGTATAAAATTCTATGAAGTAAAAAAGCCACAGTTTTGCTGCAAAGGCGAATGAATGTATGTGATTGCAAGGAATTGTAATGTCAAACAAAGGACGACAAGCAGCTCGAAATTTGCAGGTCGTCACTGAAACACTAAGCAAAACTCTCGAAAAGAAGGCACGGGTATACAAAGAACTTGTCTTGCCTGCCATACCTGTCTTGCCTGCCATAAATCATTTCATGGCGAAGAGCAGTACTTATTATGCTGCGAATGCAACTTTCTTTACCATGTTGGAAATTGTTCCGGGGTATCACTATCCGCGTATCGAAAAAAGACAGACGCCACAATAAAAACCTGGAAATGCGCTACGTGCAAAACCACAAAGCCTCGAGGAAGTCATAACACAACAAATTTCAACGACGAAACTGAAGTGGACCTTTCTCGTGAAATCAACGAAATACACCGCAAACTTGCTGTGCTTATTGAAATGAAAGTGAAAGTAGATGCACTAGATGAAATTAAGGCAACTGTTGACAGCGTCCAACAAGCAGTGCAGGAGATGGCTAAGAAATACGATGAGGTCATTTCGCAGATGAAACAGCAGAATGCCGATATTACAGGACTAAAAAAACGCGTGGAAAAACTTGAGGTCAAAGTGAACGATTTCGAAATCGGAAAGCTGAAACAAGAGCTTAATGACTTGGATCAGTACAGCCGACGACTAAATTTAGAAATACACGGTATGCCCTATCATACAGGAGAGAATTTGCTTGACAAACTTAATAGGCTAGCAGATGACCTTGACGTCCCACATCTTTCTGACCAGGATGTGGAAGCCGTTCATCGACTGCCACCCAAGAGAAAAACTGATAATGCAAGCAAAACAGAGACGGTTCCGCCCATTTTGGTTCGGTTTTTTTCGCGAAAGATTAGGGACAGCTGGCTAGCGAAGAAAAGTGAACTGAGGAAAACTAAATCAAAAATATTTTTGAATGAAAACCTAACAGCGCAAAACAAACAGCTTTTCTGGAAGATGAAAACAAGAGCAGTTGAACGAGAATATCAGTTTGTGTGGCATAAGAGTGGTAAATTGTTTGTTCGCCGTAGCCCACGCGATCGTGTAATTCGGATTATCACGATGGATGACCTCGAAAAGATAAAATAGGGCTCTCATGCATGCTGCTTGTCATTGCACGTGACGTATAAAAATGGCAAGGTTCAATAAATATTATGATAAGGACGCTTTTAAGGCTTCCGCCGCATCATGCTCTAGAAACGATTTGTCGATTCTGCATTTAAATGCGCAAAGCTTGAAAAGTAAGGAAGAACGCGTTTGCATGCTTCTTGATGATTTTAAATACAACTTTGACACTTTAGCCTTCTCTGAAACATGGTTCACCGATGAATATGAGGTACAATTCCCAGGTTACAGATGTACAACCGTATCCAGAAAAGAAAAGCGAGGAGGCGGGGTAGCATTTTATATCAAAAACGATTTGCATTTCGAAACTGTGACAGAGTTTTCAGTCGTAAACCCACACTACGAATCCCTCATGATGAAGTGCTACCATACTGCAATTGTGGTAATTTATAGGCCGCCCTCTGGTGCCATAGATGCCTTTTTTAACTTTTTAGAACGTATGTTGAATTTTTGTTCCGAACTCGGTCTGACTATTGTTACGACGGGTGACTTCAACATCAATATGCTGTCTCTAGAACGCAACAAACAAGTTCTTCTTGATCTATTTCTCTCTTACGGCCTACAAAATGTAATTGATGTACCGACAAGAGTAACAGATGTCTCCGAATCTCTAATTGATCTATGCTTTATCCCACAAACGAATGTCATAGGAGCAGGTGTCTTGATATCTGATGTCAGTGATCACATGCCAATTTTTGTTTTCTTCAACCCTCATTCAAAAACACATAGAATGCGTGCCACTAAAGCTTTTAAACTTAGAAAGATTAACAAAAGCAATGTTGCTGCTTTTCAAACGGCTGTTAGTGAAACCTCATGGTCTTATCTGTATCAGTTAACGGATCCTGTCATTGCTTATAATTATTTTATCAATCACCTCAAAAAACTTTATGATGAAGCATTTCCTTTAACTACTATCAAACAAAACAAGAAATGTAGGAAACCTTGGATTACCACAGTGCTTCTAAGGAGAATGAAGGAACGAGACAGACTTTTTAGTCAATTCATTAAAACTAGACAACCTAATCTCCTAACTGTTTATAAGAAAATTAGAAACAAACTAGGGCGTGATATCAAAGAAGCAAGAAATTGTTATTACGAAAGAAAGTTCGAAACCATTCTAAATGACCCCAAACGTGTGTGGCAAACATTAAAAGGCCTACTGCCGCAAAAAGAGCCACTCAGCGTCTCTGAAATTGTAGACAGCGATATAACTTATACCGGTATATCTTTGGCTAATAAGTTTAATGAACACTTTTTAAAATGTGGAGCATCGGTAAGTGATAACTGTGACAGGCATAATTACAGGTCATACATTATGCATAACTCCTTGAAGTCTCTTTTCATGGAACCAACAACAGAACATGAAATTAAATCCCAAATACTAAAGTTAAAGAATGCATCCGCATGTGGCCAGGACGAGATAAAAGCCGAGCCGATAAAAGCAGTTGTCAACAGTATCAGCAATCCTTTATCGCACATATGCAACCTCATTTTGGCTACAGGCGTGTTCTCTGATAAACTAAAAATCGCTAGAGTAACAGTTATATTTAAGGGAGGCGATAGAAATGACATGAACAACTACAGACCAATCTCGGTACTACCACTGTTTTCAAAAGTTTTCGAACAAATGATTAATGTAAGAATTATGAATTTCTGCACTAAAAATGATGTACTTACAGGCAATCAATACGGCTTTCAGAAAAAGAAGTCAAGTGAAATGGCTCTTTTAAGTATCAAAGAAAAAATAATTCAGAATTTGAAGACAAAAAGTATACTCTAGGGATATTTCTTGATTTTAAAAAGGCATTTGACTCTATTAAGCATGATATCTTATTAAAAAAGTTAAGCGAATATGGCGTTAGGGGACTTGCTCTTGACCTTATATGCAGTTATTTGACAAACCGCTACCAATACACAGACACCAATCATTCAAAATCAGTTTTAGGTGAAATTAAATACGGTGTTCCTCAGGGTTCCATCCTTGGACCACTTCTTTTTTATTATATATAAATGATATAGGTAATATTCCGTTCACACCAGATATAATTCTTTACGCCGATGACACGAATGTATTTTTTTCAGGAGAGAACCTACATATTCTTCAGTTGCAAGCTAGCAAATGGCTCAATAATTTATCTGAGTGGCTTATTGTAAATAAACTAGAACTAAATACCAAAAAAACTAAATATATAATTTTTCGCTGCCGAAATAAGTCAATCAGGAATGACGTACATTTGAAATTCCGTGGCGAGATCATCGAGCGTGTAAGAATACATAAATTTCTCGGTGTTCTTTTCGAAGAAAATCTCAGCTGGTCTCCTCATGTCGATAACCTCACAAGACGCATCTCACGTTCAATAGGTATTATCAGCAGAGCAAAGCAACTTTTGCCACGTTGGTTAAAACTCCAGCTATATTACGCACTAATTCATTCCCATTTACAATACTGCCTCCTTGTGTGGGGAACAACAACAAAAACAAATCTTAAAAAGCTGTATATCCTACAAAAACGTATTGTGCGAGTTATTGAAAATGTGCCATATATAACTCACTCCGCTCCACTTTTTAAAGCGAACACTATATTAACAATGCAACACATACTGAAAAAGAAGCTAGGCATTACAATATTTCAGAAAATAAAGTTATGCCACGATAGTTTTTTTCGACAATTTCTGGGAAAAGGACACGCTTACGAAACCAGAAAAACTAGGTATGTTAAAGGTTTTACACGAACTAACTATGGTATGCAAAAACAATCTTACGTTATAGCAGACTTTTTAAATCATCATCCTACCGTGATAAACTTGGTACAAGAAACGATGCACATGAAATGCTTCAAAAGAAAGTTAACTGCATATCTCCTATCAATACAAGAATAATTCTGTTTTCTTTTTTTCTATTTTTTTTTTCTCTTTTTTTACCTTGCTGCAGTTTATACTGTATATGTATATAGAAAATCTTTCTGTTTCATATGTATATAGAACAATGTATATATGTAGAAAATCCTGTATATGTTTGGCCAAAATATGTATACTATATGTAACCTTGTGTATTTTGCTTAGATAACTGCCACTGATGTTTGAGTTGTGAGTGTCTAAAAAAGGGGTGTGACACCCAGTCAGGCATTCGTGCCTTTTTGTCACTCCTCCTAGACAGGGCAAATGTACATATTACTTGTCTTTGTCTGAAATAAATACGAAAATACGAAAATACAAGCGCGAACGAAAAAAATCACAGCACATTCACGGAGTGAATGATGATGAGTGGGGCGAAGCGTCCATCTGTGTGTTCAACCGTCCATATGTCC